ACAAATAAGAAAATAAGGATAAAAGGCTATTATTACATCTTGTGGTCTGATGATAAGCTGTTGGAGTTCCATTCAATTGTGGAGTCACCAAGACTCCTCATTAGTACTATATAATAAGAACGGCCATACTGGGTCAGACCAGAGATCCATCTAGCCCAGGATCCTGTTTTCCGACAGTGGCCAGTGCCAGGCGCTTCAGAGGGAATGAACAGAACAGGTAATTATCAAAGTGATCCATCCCATCACCCATTCCCAGCTTCTGGCAGAGAGGCTAGGGACACTTCAGAGCATGGTTTTGCATCCCTGCCCATCCTGGCTAATAGCCATTGATGGACCTATCCTCCATGAACTTATCTAGTTCTTTTTTGAACCCTGTTATAGTCTTGGCCTTCACAACATCCGCTGGCAAAGAGTTCACGGCAGGGATCGGCAGCCTTTCAGAAGTGGTGTGCCGAGTCTTCATTTATTCACTCTAATTTAAGGTTTTGCGTGCCAGTAATACATTTTAACGTTTTTAGAAGGTCTCTTTCTATAAGTCTACAATATATAACTAAACTATTGTTGAATGTAAAGTAAATAAGGTTTTTAAAATGTTTAAGAAGCTTCATTTAAAATTAAATTAAAATGCAGAGCCCCCTGGACCGGTGGCCAGGACCTGGGCAGTGTGAGCGCCACTGAAAATCAGCTCGCGTGCCGCCTTCCGCACACGTGCCATAGGTTGCCTACCCCCCTGGTTCACAAGTTGAGTGTGCGTTTTGTGAAGAAATACTTCCTTTTGTTTGTTTTAAACCAGCTGCCTATTAATTTCATTTGGTGACCCCCTAGTTCTTATGTTATAAGAAAAAGTAAATAACACTTCCTTATTTATAGGGCCCTACTAAATTCACGGTTGATTTTGGTCAATTTCACGGTCATAGGATTTTAAAAATCATAACTTTAATTGTTTCAGATACTTAAATGTGAAATTTCACGGTGTTGTAACCATGGGGGTCAGATCCCAAAAGGAGGTCATGGAGGGATGGGGGTGCCGTGGTATTGCCACCCTTACTTCTGTGCTGGCACTGTCTTCAGAGCTGGGCACCAGAGACCTGCGGCTGCTGGCTGGGCGCTCAGCTCTGAAGGCAACACTATTGCCAGTGCAGAAGTGAGGGTGGCATGGTATGGGGGGATCCTCACTTTTGGGGGGTCAGGCTGGCCTTATGAGCCTTATGGTGGCCCAGGGTGCCGTGGTTGCGGGGGGTTTCCATGGTCACTTCTCCCCCAACACACACACAGCCAGCCCAAGCCGCCTTAACTCCTGAGCACCGGGGCGCTGGGCCCAGAGCCAGGGAGGGGCAGGCCTGGGGGCACCATGGCTGAGGGCTCCTATCATATGTCAGGCTCCTGCTGCTGGTCCTGGAAGGGCTGGTGTGGGATGGGACTTCCTTTTCACCTGCAGGGGTCTCTCCCGGGGCCGGGTCAGACCCACCTCCAGGAACCTCCCCCAGCTGCAAGCAGCAGTGCAGAAATAAGGATGGCATCGTATGGTACTGCTACCTTTACTGCTGTGGCGCTGCCTTCAGAGCTGGGCTCTCAGACAGCAGCCGCCACTTTCCAGCCACCCAGCTCTAAAGGCAACGCAGAAGTAAAGGTGGCAATATCTCAACCCCCCTACAATAGCCTTGAGACCCCCCATGCCCCATTTTTGGTTTGGGACCACCAGTTTGAGCAATGCTGGTCTCCTCTGTGAAATCTGTATAGTATAGGTAAAAGTACACAAAAGACCAGATTTCATGGTCTATGATGTGTTTTTCACAGTTGTGAATTTACTTTCTCCACACCAGTCATGATTTTATAGATCTCTATCATATCCCCCCTTAGTCGTCTCTTTTCCAAGCTGAAAAGTCTTAGTCTTATGGAGGATACTTACTGTACTGGTCTGTTCACACTGCAAGCGTTATGTAACCAGCTCTCCATATGGAATACACAGCATGCAACTTTGTACAATGACAGTACCTCTCCATAGAACAGATTACGATTCAATTCATGCCATAACCGATACAATGGACCTGGAAGACATTAATAGTAAAACTTAACAATCAAAGGAACATGTAAGTAATAAGACGTACCACATATGGTAGAGGCTGAAGAACAGTCTTATTTACTGCTTCAGTGAAGAAGGTGCATTTAACTTGATTTGATTCATGCTAGTTTTACCATCAGTATTCAAGTCAAAGGGCATTAACTTGCAAAAGGACTTCAAGGTTTGGGCCTTAGAGTGTAGATATTGGGCCCATTAATATGAAAGACAAGTAGTTTATTTTCTATAAAGATGCCAGTGTATTCACAAGTATTCTGTCTACCATCCTATCTATCTTCTTCAACAATCTTCCTTTGAACAGGTGATTTGGGAATTGATAGGCAGATTATGAGCCATTACTGTTTATACAGTGGAACAGAGCACTTACTTGCATATATGCATAATTTAGATAGATAACAATTTAAATTCAGTTATTAATTTGTAGATATGTAGCTTTAGGGTGATCTGAATGCTAGAATGTAGACCGGTGGAGGAGATAAACGTTTAACAACTTTAGTAATAGAGACTATAAGAAACCTACTGTAGGTATGATAGTCTGGCCTGGTTAAGGTTACCAGATGCAAACTTAACGTGATTCATCCATATATTTTGGATATAAATGTTTTCTTTTTACCATTAGTAAAAGTTAGATAATTATAATCTTAATTCTAATGTCTGTGCCTTAGAATTTCAAAATACTAGAAATAACTATGCAGGGGGGTGTCATTTTTTTCTTGTTAGGGAGATAGCGGTGGACCGTTAGTGTGCTATCACCTAGATACCAGCAAATATTATCTGATAGGGATTACCAGTTTTGGATTTGGATGCGGCCGACCCAAACTTCCTGGGATCTATGTACGTGTGTCTCGATATAAAAGGTGGATAAAAGCTCGTCTTTTGCTGGCTAGCAAAGCCACCAGGACCCTGAGCATTACACGTGCTCTGATTCTCTTGACTGTGGGGTGGACACATACATCATTTGGTTGTACTAGAGACTTCAGAGGCCTCTTTGAGATTGCCACTTGAACTCTGCATGAACAGGCAGCCACTCATGATTTTTATGAATAAGTATCCTTAATGAATGTGTGTAAATGCTACTTGTTTAGTAAAAGGCATGTTTTTTTTCTTTTATCTAGATAACTCACCTATCACAGTACACAGCCTGTAATAAAGCATTTTTTTAACTATCACAGGTATCATAAGTAAAAACTATGCACAATAGAGAAAGATACTGTACAATTGCATTAGTATATTCTGTGGGGCTTGAACTTTACAAGCATGATGAAAACCACCGTTTTAGAGAATGTTGTTATAAGGTTATAGTTGTTGTTCATTAAATAAAGGACCATTAAAGAAAATGTGCATTACAGTGGTTGGCTGGCACAGCATAGCAGTCCCTTGTTTGTTAAGGTAAAGCAGACAATTTATAATTTAAACAAATCATAATGTGTATTCTATTCTAGGCTTAAAGGGACATTGTCATGTAAGTGATTTTTCAATATTGTAACATCTTAGGATCTTTAAAATAAAATGTATTTTCCACCCAGATAGATACAGATTTTGTTTTGTTTGTGGAAAAAACAATTTAACTGTTTCATGTCCTGGCATGTTTGTGCACCAGAATAGTCTGTCAGTAGAGTTCTATAGAAATGGTTTCGAGTTCAAAGGACACTCCCATCAACTTGAAATCTAGCTAATAATTGTTAAAAGTAGTTTCAGGTAAATACATATGTCCAAGTCCCCTAAAAGTGTTTGTGATTTTACAATCATACTTTTCTGTTTTGTTCTCTCTGAGACTGACACAAACGGGGAAATGTTTAACAGACTGCAGTGGGAACAGTCCGACTTCCAAGGGAACTTCACCTGTTTCCCCCCCCTGTGTGGTCCACTCCAAGCATGCCCAATCAGGTCTCCAGCTGCCAGCTGTCTCTGGGCAGGGACCCTTGTCCCACCCCCTTCTTATTGGGGGGTTTAGGGCTGCAGACTCCCATCATATACTGTGATATTCCCAGCAAGTCAGTCTGCCTAAAGGCCAGCACCTGGGCTGTGCCTTCTCTCGGAGGACAGTGACAGCATTTTTACCAGGTACTACACAGCTCTTTTTCAGCAGAGTACATTTATTGTAAGAACAAAAGAGCATACAGAGAAAATGTGTACAAACCGATAATAGTTCCTGTATGTATGTTAAAACCTTACCAAAGGTCACCCATCAGTTTTATGGGGCCCTTGTAAGCCAGTCTTTCCAGCTCCTCCATGAGGGTTCTGGCCTCTTTTACACAGAAGGTTCTGTTTGCTGAACCAAAGTGAAGGCCCTGAGTCAGTTCAAACTCAGCTTTTTATACAAAAGCCATTTCTTTCTTTATCTCTCTGGAAAACCCAGTTTTAATCAGTATATCCAAACACCCCATGGGGCGGTGGTTCTCTGGAGTTGCTTACAATCCCCAGGGTCATTACCCTCCACTGTTTTTAGTTCCTGGAGGAGCTGTGATAACCCTCCCCCATGGAGCAGAACACAATAAGATAAAACCATTCATAAATTCAATACAGTGGTCCCCAAAGATACTGCATAGGATTGCAGTATCTGTGACAGGAACTATGCAAAAAGTATACAGAAAACAAAAATAATTTCTTTTTTTCCAATCTCTTTCAGTTACAGTAATTCTAGGTGTTGATTTTTAACAACAGTAGGTCGAGTGTTTACAGATAGAAGGGGATTGTTACAGTTAACTTGTGCTCCCTCTTCTGGATCACTAACAGCAGAGCATACAGTATTTTCTAGTGTTAGATAGCTGTTGAGGTTTGTTATTTAAAAAAAAAAAAAGCTGGACCACAGAAGAAACTCTCTACATCATGATTTTAAGACTGATTAAATTTTGGACCAAAGTTACCAACAGCAGCCCTTTAACTGAAGTTGTGATTCAATAAATGAGGAACATTAGAATTGTATTTTGGGGTCTTTATTACTGAGGTCAAGAGTTGCAAGCACCTATTTGTTTCAACAAGTCTTTACAATTCATATGAAGTATGTAGCTATGGAGGGAACCAGACCAATAGTATTCAGTGTTACACTCTTTCCAAAATAAATTCCTCCTGAAAAGTCATCGCTCAAGGACCAAACCAATATGACCACGTCATACATCCACGATAAAGGATAGACCTATGCTGCTTCTTCCCAAACATTACATCAATAGAATCAAACTGACTGATGTTTTTCTCTCTGGCAATAATAAAAAGTCAATCAGCTGCAAAACAGAGCAGGAATCAGCTACCATGTTTTGTACTGTAAGGATACTTGCCAGTTGTTTCATTTAAAAAAAATCCTTGATCACAAAAGAAGAAATTTGAAAAAGAACAGCAATGGCACAGAGTTGGGAGCAAAATACCACAAAGAAGAGTTTCAAGTTAGTTTCATTTACAGGAAAGCCATGATAAAAGCTTCAATATTGACGGTCCGAGTCTGCCTGCAGACCCAAGTCTGTCTCCCTTTGAAGTTATTGAGAGTAGTGCATACATATTCAGTGGCAGAGTTTGACCAAAGAGCCCAGTCCTATTGAGGTGCCCATTATCCTGAACTCCCACTAACCTTAATGGAAGTTTTGAGGCACTCAGAACCTCCTAGGATGTCGTCTTTACCCAAGCAGGGTTGAGCGCCAAGCATGCAAGTTTTTCTAGTGCTGGGCAACAAATGCATTTTAAACATTTCATAAAGATTTTTGACATGAGTAGGAATTCTAATGTATATTTCAGTTCTATTTAAAGCAACTATATAGCAAACAATATCCCATAATAGCCACATATGTTATATTACACTTTACAAATACAAAATATTTATCTAACCCACTAACAACTCAGTTGTGGAATTCAGAGTCTGACTGCTTGGTAGGAAGCGCAATATATATATAGTAGACTAATAAAATAAATGTTGATAGACCTTATATAAACAACATACAAGGGGAGCAAATACATTTTTAAATTTCATTCAGGACTGAGCTAGCACAACTCACTGATGGCCTTACCACATTTTAGTAACACAGATCATGGCACAATTCCCATTGAAATAATGGAAGCAGGATCCAACCCTAACTACAGAAAATAGCATATTCACTGTTCATGCAATAACCATGGTCACATCATATTTTATTTATATTCAAGAGTCCTGATCATGTCAAACCTCCTTTAACTTTTACTTGAAAGAAACAAGTCAAAATGATACATACTAGGATCCCTGATAGTATTTTTGCAGTAAATTCAAGCACATGTGCAGTTTTTACTGAATATGGAAAAAAAATGCTAATCTGTTTCTTTTTCCCAACAATATTTCTTAGGATTTATTTTTAAGGTCAGTTGCTTACAAAGACAAAAGTAATTCAAATATTTTCTACTCCAAAGAGAATCTAATTTTACTTTGTGCTAACCCATAAAAATATATATAATCAATAATCTGAGACACAAAATATCTATTTGTTTACTAAAAGAAACTGTATAAACTGTTAAAATATGCATATAAACTCCATTTTAGAATTTGTAAAGGTAATAGTTTACTTACAAAAATATACCAGCCATTAACTATTTTCAATAGAGTATTTTCTTACAAAGATGCCATTACTTCACAAAATATTGCCTACCTTACAAAATTAGTCTGGTAATTGTGCACTTTTATTTTTTAATTTATAAACCCTATATTAGAACTGTATTAAACCCTTTGGTATGTATCTTTAGCTTTTTATTTTACTGTGTCTTTTTTTGGTCTGTAAACTTTTTAATTAAGCATAGTATGATCTCCAAACAGAATAAGCAATGCATGTTCAGTTGTATATATAATCAGCGCACAATTTATTTTTCAATTATAGTTTATCACACCCAGTAACCACGAACAAAACTATTTAAAAAGCATTCTCTGACAACTTTTGTTCAGCTATACCCATTCTACCAAACTGTTGGTTTAAAGTAACTGAATGTGTTGAATACTCTTAAGAAGTCAACATCTTATTCATGTGCCTTCGACATCTTTCAGGCTTAGGCCTGAAAAATAATTTTCCCATTGCCTTCTGCAAAACCTCTCCAACTTTGATGAACACAGCAAATATTTTACAAAAAAAAACCAAACCAAAACAAAAAACCACCCCACCTTTAAACAGATTGCCAGCTGAGAAAAGTAAACATAATTTATACTTTTAGCAAAGTATTAACTTCTCTTTATCTTCTACACCTGTAAGTTAGAATTTACAGGTTGAAATAAAAATATTTACATACAAATAACCGAAAGAAAAGATAAGGATCATAAAACAAAAGAAATTAAAACCTATACTGGTTATATATGTTGCTAATAATTTTCAGCTAATGGCAAGGATTCCATCTCATCCACATTTTAACTGTAATAAAATATTACTGCTGTTACCAAATTAATTTGTAGTTCAGGAAATTCAAATCACTTGTCTGATAAAATGTGCATGTCCTTTTATTGCCGATGTAACCTTGATTTTAATGATGTTTCCAGTTCTGCCAGCAGTTTTGTTGAGGTTTTCTTGTTTCCTTTTTGTAGTTTGTCACTAACACGTTGTAAATAAAATCTTTATAGTCTTTAAGTTGTGAAATCTAGGTAGAAAAGTTTCATGTTTGACCTTTCATTTAATTTTAAAAAATTCGGTATAAAAAAATTCCCACTGGAAATTTAGACAGTCCACAAAAAGTTGTGCCTCCTTTTCTTACACATTTTTATGGCAGTAAAGATCTTTCAAAGTTTTTAGCTCTTCAATTAGAGTTTTGTTTTGATTTTCCAGGACCGCAACTCGATTTTCCAGACATTTAACATATTCTTTCTTCTTTCTACGGCATTCTCGAGCAGCTTCCCTGAAATCAAAAGGCAGAAGTGTTAATTACTGTATATCATTAGGTGTTCAGTCACTCATGTTTTGCTTTGAATACTGACTCCATCTGAAGCTACCATTCACACGTGGGGAGACGAAGATCTTTACAGAAAACTAATCTTTCTGTTCACCTCACATGAAAGCATTGACTGATCAAAGAAAATGATCAAAACAAAGCAAAAAAACCTAAACATTTTGTTTTTCTAAAGTTAAGGCCTTTTCATTAAGAGCATCAGAAACTTTACACAGTTGGTTCTATGAGAAACCAAAAATACAGCCCTGGTCAAAAATCATTGGTTTCCAGAAAGTTCTGGGTTTCATGTTTCTCAAGAATTAAATGACATATACTACCCTAAATAATGCACGCAGATGGCAATGGGAGTTTCACTCTACAGCAAATAGACTGAAAGAAAACATATGTCAATATATATGCAGAAAGAAAATTAAAATGAGACATCATCTATATACACACAAGAGTAGTCTGAATTGAATATTTAAAAAGATTAAGGTCAGGATACTCATAAAAAAGAGGTTTTATTTACTTACAGGCATTAGCAAAGCAAATTAAACTACAGGACAGTTCAAGGAATGTGTGAAATATTTGGTTAAACAAAAACTGGTTAGCTTACAGGAAAAAAAGTTCACATTTTTCCCCAATTTTTCTGGGACAAAATCTTTAGTATGTTTGGGTCTAGCTTTCTAACATTGGGTGTAGGATAAATAATACATTGGTGACACAATTACTAAACTTATGTGGGATTCAGAATTTTGGATACACAATTCTAGTTTAAGCTAAATATCGAGGAATACTGTCAACTTGAAACCAAGAAAAACATTAGAGAGACAAGGTGGATGAATCTTCTATTGGACCATCTTCTGTTGGTGAGTGAGACAATCTTTCAAGCTACACAGAGCTCTTTTTCAGGTCTGGGAACTAACTCATAGTTACTTATCTTGTCTCCCTAATATCCTGGGACTGACATGGCTATAACAACACTGCATTGTTAATTACACAAAATTAAGTGAAAAGAGAGGAAGCTTCTAGTCTTTCATAGTATAGTAGTCTTAAATGTTACTCAGCTATAGCTGGTAAAAATAATTTTCAGACAGAATTGTGATTTTAAAGGTGACTGTATACCTTTAAAAAAAGAACAGGAGTACTTGTGGCACCTTAGAGACTAACAAATTTATCTGAGCACAAGCTTTCGTGGGCCACAACCCACTTCTTTGGATGCATGTGGGTTTTAGACCACGAAAGCTTATGCTTAAATAAATTTGTTAGTCTCTAAGGTGCCACAAGTACTCCTGTTCTTTTTGCGGATATAAACTAACACTGCTGCTACTCTGAAACCTGTATACCTGTAAGTATTTGACATCTGAAGTTATATTTTAGCATGCTGTTTAAGAATCTGATTGCAGCTATGAAGCTGGTTATGTAGCAATACATGGAAACTTACATACCTGTTCTTCATGAGCCTTATTTCTCGTTTCAACTGTGGATCATCTGTCTTGGTTGACTGAGACGTAAGGGTGACAGGAGATGTCATCACTACAGTCTGTGGGAGGGAAGTGGTTGTTGTTGTGGTGCGGATCTGATATGTCTGCATATCTCCCGATGCAGCTGTTAAGACAGCAGAATAAGTTAAATTAAAAGGAAAAAATCTTAGAAAGCGACACTTTTATGGGAGACAATATTCCTAACGTTTTTTGTAATGCATACTCACTCTGCACTACCACCTGGTTGCTGGGCACAAGTATCTGCTGCCCATCAGATGTTTGTGCATACTGCAGTATTGTTGTCCCAGACTGTGTGCCACCAGCATTTGTCATTGTTAATGTCTGCAGACCCTGCACACCATCTGTGCCTGAACTGGCCAGCTGCAGTGATCCGTTTGGGGCAATAGTAACTTCAATAAAAGAGAGAGAAAAAATATGGTAGATATACAGAAAATGTTTTCCTTTTGTGTACTAAGTACATCCACTTCCAATAGGCAATCACCTATCTGAAGTTGGTACTTTAAAAATTAGCCCCACAATTTTGTTGCATCTTTAAAGACTGATTTGACAGTCATGGGGCAGTCAGAGACACTGTTGGGTTAAAACTATATATTTACAAGAAGATGTCCTTACATATGATACTAACATCCGGTTGGCTATTAAACTGAATAAATTTAAACAACCTAATTTATTTTCCAGGATTCGTGCGGTTTGTTTACTGTTTTGTATTTCACATAGCTTGAAGATTGAAAAGAGACTCATCCGCTTCTGGTCACTTTCAGGCTCATACAAAAATACAAAGCTGCAGTGTTTGAGTTGCAAACATACAGGGAATACTTAATGTTTCAAAAATTGCTTTCCACTTCCTCCCCCCATAACGCCATAGAAATGTCTACTAGCCTCAGGTTTTATAAAACCTAGCTTATGCACACTTTAAATTTTGGACCAAATTTGACACTTTTGGTTTCACTGCAATATAGAACATATAGACTAAACTAGCCATGCCAGTTATAAGCTGCACTGGCACTATAAGCCAAACGGCTGAGATTTGCGTATATATTTATACATTTACATAGACTTGGCTTGCACCCAAGAAAAAATCACTATGTGGTAGAAATAGTGCTCCCTTCACTCCTCCCCACCCCCTGCTACTGTCCGAACAGCTCACTGTTGACTGACTAGATTGTGACATTGTCAAGTGGTGAGATTGTGACATCAGTGGTGAGTGACACAGCGGTTCGGGGAGAGGTTGGTGGTAGAAGCAACATGTGTTGTAACTATTATACGTGGACATTTTTGTAATTAAAAATAAATGCAGAAAATTTCCATATTTGCCTGTATTTTCATTTATCCCCTAAAAAAACACAGGTGCCTGATTAAAAACAAAAAAACATCAACCAGCAACTCCTGTTATTTTTAATGGGAGGAGAAAGTGTCTTTTTCTTAATGGGAGCTGCTGGGTGCTGATCACATTTGAAAATCAGGCCACTTTATTTAAATGTTTACATGGGAGCTGAACTCTTCTGCACTTTTGAAAATCTCGCATACAAGCTTTTACAATTTTTCTTTGCTTCTCCTATTTTTAACACTGATATCAAAACAAGATGAAATATTAAATCCCCTGTAGTTTACTAGCTCACCCAAATTGTTTACGTTCTAAACTACTTGAGATTTTCCAATAGATGTTTTCCAAGAATTAAGTGTATTAATTTTCTCCAGGATAAACAGGTTTATAGTTCTACAATGTCATTTAAGGAGAAATTCAAGCTTTATTTGATTAAAGAAATTATCTCAGACTATAAAGAAATGTCTTTATTTATGATTTATATGACATTTTATTGTTTTAATCACTTAATAGATAAGTTGCCCCTAGACTACTGTTACCCTGGAGCAAAATATATTTTTTAAGTGAAGCACATACTTTGAAAATGAACCCAAGTTCCAAAATAGCCATGCCAGTCATAGACTGCACTGGCACTATTGCATGCAATATATATATATAAAAAAAGAAATATATTTTGGATTTTTTTTAACTACAGAATTTTAGTTCATTTTTAAGTTGCAAAAGTTTTGAATCAGACTCAATTTAAAATAGCATGCTTACTTTTAGTAATCCTGGATTTAGTTGGCAAGTAAATATGTTCAAAGTTTGGGGTAATGTGACAGATCATTTTGTCTCTGCCAACAGTTTACACTTCATACAGAGTAGGTGCATGGACATAGGGAATTGTTACGTTAAAAGGCCAAACAACGAAAGAATACAGATACATTCTAACATCTCTAGCCGGGAGTAGCTGCCATGCAAACCATGTTCAATCATTTTGACTTGTTAGGCTGGCTAAAGGGCAGACAAGATCAACATGGCCTTTGAAATGTTAGATTTAGAGCAAGGAAGTTAGAGGATCCTTCCAGAACTAGAAGGGGGAATGACAGCAGGAACAGAGGACAGCAATCGTACGGAGAACTAATTTATTTCCCTGAGCTGATCAAATAATACTTTGATGAAATGCTGATGTAACTACCCACCCTGATACTATAATCTCTCACATTTGAGATTAAAGTAATCACAGGGTAAAAATGACCAAGGCCTTTCAAGAAGGGGAGATCCTGGGACACAGAGAGGGGGTGTGTGTCCCCTGGATGCAATCTGACCAAGAAGATCAGTGAGGAAGAATGTCTTTCTAGAAGTAGGAAGTGTTTTCTGTCACTACAGCTAATAGCTAAAGTTAAGGTAAGCCTAGCTAATACTTTTGCAGTTTCAAGACAGCTATGTTATGTATACTGTTTCGTTTGTTTAAATATTATTTTCTTTTGCTATTCTTAATCTTGTTTTAATTAGATCAGTTGTAGTCTTGGGCTGTTGTTTTGGGGAATTTCATGCATATCATGGCAGAGAGTACCTTCAAGAAGAAGGAAGGGGTGTCTGGAGCAGCAACCCACTTTGACTTCTCAGTCAGAAAAGCACAGACTAAAGGATTCTTTTCCAATAAGGTGTGTCATTTGCAAGGATGAGGGTATAAGGAAAACACCTAAGCACCATGGGGGAGAACCAAGCTGAAAGGGATGCAAGTTCCAGATTTGATAGGAAAAGCACTACAGCAAACAATTACTAAAAAAGTATAATAAGTTATATTAGAAAGGAAGAAATTAATCGAAGAGGAAAGTTGGTCTTGTAATTAAGGCACTGAACTGAGAGTCAAGAAATCTGGGTGAAATTCCTGGCTCTTTCATCAGCTTCCTGTGTGACATAGGGAAAGTCACTTCAGCTCTCTCTGCCTCACTTCACCATCCGTAAAATGGGGATAATAATGCTACCTTACTCCCACTTTTTGATTCTACTTATATGGTAAGCTCTTTGGGACAAGGATGGTCTGTCTCCTACTATGTGGATGTACAACATCTAGCACAATGGAGCCTTGATCTCACCATGGGCATCTAGCCACTCCTTTAATTCCAACAAATAATGATAATTGGAATAGCTATCATTTGTATTGCCAATCCTTCCACAAACTCATCTTAGTGTCAATATAATATAATATAAACTTTCCCCCATATAGTTTCGTGTAACAGAAGTATGTCTAGTTGGATGTATATTTAATATAACATACTGTACTGTCCAGTGCTGGTCTGGTAGATAGGTGTGGGAACAGACATAGAGGTGACAGTAGAGACACCAGGACTTTCATCATCTCCTTTTCTATCTCGTGCATCTTCGGACGAAAGATCTTTCAAGATTTTTCTATGGAAAAAATTTTTCTTCATTAGCACTTGTGAAAGCAAAAGATGGCAAACTGGTTGGCAATTACTCCTCTGAGTACAAATTTTAACAATATTGCAGGCAAATTTTGCTGGGAAATATTTCTCCACCGGTGACAATTTTTAAATTAATCAAACTACAAATATAACAGAGATAGAGCACCTAAAACCAACATAGTTATAGAAACATGCTGCTAACATACATAGCTGATAATCTTTAATAGCATTACACACATTGTTACATACAAAAGACAAATCCTAGCTTGTGGTTGGCTGAAAAAAAGTCATGTGACAAGTCAGTAAATTTGTACTGTTACCACCTCAGAGGTAATTTGCTTATATATTTACATAACATGACCTCCTAAGAGGTAAACAATACTGACGCCAGGAGCAATGTTAACCAATTGGACTGCATATGCAAATAGGGGTCACATTGGATTCCATTTATAATATCTTATAAAGGATTAATAAATTAAGATTTTTTTAATGGCTAATCAATTGTTATAGATTGCTATAGAGTCTGACAGATCAACAGGTTACTTATAACGATCTAGAACACACAACACTCAGATATGTAACAAGCTTATAATATTTATAAATCATTTATTAGCCCTTTATAAATGGAACCTTAATATTAAATAAAATTATATATATATATATATATATATATATATATATATATATATACACACACACACAC